TGCTTAGCTGGTACTTCTTTCAACTGGAAAGGATCTGAGCTGACAAGGGAGGAGGGAGAAGGAGAAAGGTACTCATCATCCCATGCAACAGTGACTATTCCCTTTGATTGCAAATTCAGAATTTAACATCTGATTCTAATGGAAGCTTCAAGGAAACTACATTGAAGATAACATGTGCTTTAACAGAAGGGAAACATGCTGATTTTATTAAACTCAAAGGTATCACACAGCTGTGAGGATCTAAACTATTCCCAAAGGTGTTCAGTTCCCAAAGTCTGAACAAGAATCAACTTTAGAAATAAGTACAAAACTTGTGGTATCTAAAGATAGGCTACATAAAGAAGTCTATCAAAAGAGACATGCATACTGGAGATCCTTACCAAAAGTTCATATTATTTTGCCCCTGAAACTTCACAAAGGCTTGTTAGAGAGGAGGTTTGTCCAAAACAGGAATCATTTCCAAACTATACTATCTAAACAAACCAGTACCAGAAAGTATCTTGGCAGTTTCCAACAGAAATCATGAAGGTACCTAGAAAACACACTGTGATATACTGATAGAATAAAACCACCACAGGCTTGTACAGTGAATGGCATTTTCTGAAAAGACAAATAAGATCTACTGATCAATTAAAATACAAAGAAATAAAGATTCTAATGCACACATAGACTGTATTTTTATTTTTTATTCTCATTATATTTATAGAGATCATGCACATTTTGTGTCATATATAAACACTGTGTAATGTCTTACTGGAATTCAAAAAGAAAGCAGCTCCCTTACTGGCATGTGACAGCATCTGCAAAAATTAGTAGCTTATGGGACAGGTATCAGTCATCAGAAGGCAGAATGATTAGACATTCCAATTTTCTGAACTGATGCTATCTGATTTTGGAGTAATAGAGGACTCCTGCTACATGCGGATAAGCTTAAGAAGGAGTATAACTGCTGAAAGGGGACCTGAAAATCTGTTCTGCAATGCTTTCAAACTTCATACCTATTTTCACGTATGTGAAACCTGTGCTGGTTTTGTCTGGAGTAGAGTTAATTTTCTTTATAGTAGCTAGTATGCAGCTATGTTGGATTTGTGCTGAGAACAGTGTTGGTAGCACAGAGATGTTTTCCTTACTGCTGAGCAGTGCTCACACAGCACCAAGGCCTTTTCTGCTTCTCTCTCCACCTGCCAGTGAGAGAGGACATGGCTGGGACAGCTGACCCCAACTGACCACAGGGATATCCCACACCATATGGCATCATGCTCAGCATATAAAGCTGGGGTAAGAAGAAGGAACAGGGGGACATTCAGAGTGATGGAGTTTGTCTTTCAAAGCCACCATTACAGATGACAGAGCCCTGCTTTCCTGGGGATGGTTGAACATCTGCCTGCCCAGGGGAAGTGGTGAATGAATTCCTTGTTTTGCTTTGCTTACACACATGACTTTTGCTTTACCTTTTAAACTGTCTTTATCTCAAGCCATGAGTTTTCTCACTTTCACCCTTCTGATTCTCTCCCCCATCCCATGGCGGGGGAGTGAGGGAGCGGCTGTGTGGCGCTTAGTTGCTGGCTGGGGTTAAACCAGGACAGTACCTCACATACAGCTGAATAAAACCAGTGACCTTTTTGCTTGGTCACTGACATGAAAATTCATACAACAGCATCATCCTATAATAAATGGCTACATTAGATGTAGGCTAAAGACATGTACATAGCTACATTTTAAATTCATTTTAGTGCTGAGACTAAGACCAGATCGGCAGTCCTCCTATCAATTAGGTGCAGCACAAGCTGCAAAGTTACAGAGGTCCTTCAGTTTGCCTGATCTGTACAGTGAGAATTCAGACAAGCAGCTAGTTCTATTCTCAGATGAAGTCAACGTCTTTCATTCTATGGGTCTTTTTAAGTTCTTATTTTATTTCTTTTTTTCATTTTAGCCACCTGGACTTTGCCTACCTAACTTTATAAAGACATCACATAAAGATCTTTAACTAATTCCAGCTTTTACTAAACTGAAAATCATATGAATTTGAAGTCTAAAATGCAAAAAACCTTTTTCTCCCAATTCAAATTCACTAAATAGTAAATCATTGGAGACTACAATGAAATGTAATCAGATCAGATCAGTACCACTTTTCCTGCTTGTCTCAAATAGCCCAAAGGATATTGAAAATTAGCTGCTTAAAGTAAGATCAGTATAGTCCATTAAATCTACTGATTCACTCCCTAAATCAGCTAAACTGCCTCTTAAGAGTACAGGACTGACAGAAGCTGTAAATTCAAGAAAAAAAAAGCAGTTATGCAGACAAGCACCATGAAAAAGAAAAATATGTTCAACTGTTTGCCACACTTGACTTTTAAGACTTCTGTTAAACAGCTTGACTTGTGCAAAGATACCAATGAGGACACAGAGAGACCTTCACTTCTTAATTGCTGGTTCAAATGCCTGGCTTAAGTAGAAGTCATAATCCTCTGTCAGCCTTAAAATAAAATAAAATTTAAAAAAGAGTTTGAATGCTACTCTTGCAGGATAGTCTTCATGCCACAGTACACAAACTGAAGTATGCAGAAATTCATTTTGAGCTCTTACTGCTCAGGCTGAGTTAATTCAAGGTGGCCACTTGCAAAAAATGTTTGGCTTTATTCTCAGTTTCTCATACGTGAAAGGAGGGATAAGAGAACCCTGTTTACTTTACAGCTTATGTAATAAATTCTGTGATGAACACCACAGAAATAAATGGCTCTAATTCAGAGAGACAATTATTTCCCATCATTATAATAAGCACACCCATTTGTAGACAGAAGATGAGCCAAAGCAGTGTCCCTTTCAACTCAGAATATTCTGGGACTCTGTGAAAGAATTAAACCAATTGAATAGTCTGTTTTTGCAAAGGCGTCAAAACAGCTTATAGAGACAAAAGGTATATCGAGGAGCTCTATGATGATATATAGATGCAGAGGTACAGAATTAAGGCTAACACTGAATCTGCTGTCTTGTGCATGACTGAAAATCTTAAGTTCATCATCACACTGAAATGGCCTTATTTTTACAACTCCTTCCCAGAGCCACTTTTTTGATATCTCATTTGCTTAATATAAACTTAATGTTACTTACTTTGTTTAGGAAGTGACATAATTTAATATCTGCAATTAGTGATTTAATAATCTGTGATTTAACAGCCAATTATTAGTGATTTAATCCTCAGATTAAAATGAAGTGTTTTATTCCAACCAGAGGATGTTTAGTTTTATGTTATTAGTATACGAGCAAGTTAGCAAGCAGCACACTATGGCCAGAATAAAATATTTTTTGTTTATTAAGGGAAGAAATGGGGGAGGGTTTTTGCTTCTAAGCATCCAGGGAGCTGCTTCTCTTTTTGGCTTTGCTGAAGACTGGCAAACATCACAATGATGAAACCAACAGAGGTTTTTTGTTGCTTACTTCAGTGGGATCCACTACCATTCATCTATGGCACAATTAATTAATCTATGGTAAACTAGTTTAAGAGATTCTTTCCCCATGGGTTATTTTCCCTTTAATTATGCCAATTCAACATTACGTGGGGCTGTGCTCCTATCACAAAAACAAAATAATTTAGAAAACAAATTCATACGGTTTATGAACAAATCCTATATAAGTACAGGATTGTGCAAATACTCGAACTGGCACAGCTGAAGGAATCATGAGGTGGAGAG